TAGATGTGTATAAGAGACCAGTCTCTCTGAAAAGCAATGGAAAAAATATCCTCAAGTGAGGATTTAGAAAAAGGAAGAAAAGAAAAAGAGGTGTTTCATGTGTTTGAGAAAATGGTCTAAAACATAGGCATCGTTAGGAGAAAGTCAGCTCCCTGCTTTTCCTGGGAGAACCACCTTAGCACTTAGCCCGTGGTTTTCCCAGGCCACGGAGGTGACTGCCTTATACCGCACAAGGTGCTAAGATTTTCTTTTGGTCTTCAGTTTAATAACCACAAGCCTTTTTTTGTTTTACAGTGAATAAAAGTGTTGGAAAACAGTGCAGTCAATTATAAATTTTCCTAAGTCTGCTAGACTCTAACCCTATAATGTAGATAAGTAAGATCCTGATTTTTGAAGCATGTAGTCCAGTTGGAGAGGAAACATGAACCACACAGATAGCGATTAAAGAGCAATTAAATGGTACCTGGGTGGCATTCTCTCTAAGTGCCGTGGCACGGAGAACTTACATTTCTTTACCTTGCTTTCAGTGGGTGCCATCAGCATGTTATCACCACACATTTCTTTAGGGACCGTTTTATACCTATACTTGCTATTTTTTATTTTCTCAGTTTGCCCTTTTTTGAGGGAGGTGGTTTTGGATTCCAAGGTCCCNTTATCACCACACATTTCTTTAGGGACCGTTTTATACCTATACTTGCTATTTTTTATTTTCTCAGTTTGCCCTTTTTTGAGGGAGGTGGATTCCAAGTCCTTGGCAATTTGTCAGTTTCAGATCATCCGCATTTCAGCTTTAATAAATCTCTTGAATCAAGGCATCCAAAGCTCCCTACCTGGAAACCAGCATATTTACTGTAGGTCTCAAGGCCCCCTCCAACCTTCCTGACCTGCTCCTCCCCCGGTATATACCGTAGCCGTAGTGGGCTGTCCCTGCAATAATTTCTTATTGTGTTTTCCCGCTGAGAATACCATTATCTCCTTCCCCCTCGTAAAGTGTTATTCTTGAGTTCAAGGAAAACTAGGGAGAGGAAAGAACAAAAAGGCTTCACAGGGGCCTATAATAAAAAAGGCTTTTCTTGATTAAGAATTGAAACTTATCTTTAGGTTCATTTGGCTACTAAGAGAGGGCACTTTCATGATATAAGGGGAGTAGTCACAGTGTAATGGAGTTGGAGTTGTATTGTTTGCCAAAAGCTCAATGACAAACCTATCACTTAAATTGCTTCTAACAGTTTCTGACATGGTATATCTTTAATTTGTCTCCAGTCCATGCTCACAGAAATGCTAATAGGTAGTAAAATGAGAAAGACACTAAGCTAGTCTTTAAAATTTTAAATACAGTGAGAGTTTCACTATAGTTACTTGTGCAAAATCAGGCTTTGCTGGCCGGCAGGTGTGGGCTTGAGACTAAGCTCTTCATCTCCCTGTGACCTTGGGCAAAGAACTTAGAGCCGAACACCCATTTTCCTCCTCTCTAAATCAGGAATTATAATCAACACCTTTTCTTGAGGTCATCCCAAGCGTAATGATTATATATATATATATATATATATATATATATATACACACACACACACACACACACAATATAATATATACTTATAAGATATATGTAAAATATGTAACAGCTTTTCCAGTTGTATTGAGATATCCTTAAAAAGAGTAAAGATTTCATTTGGTAAATTCCTCCTTTTTATTTTTATGTCAGAGCGAGAGAATATGAGAAGTTGAGATGTCAATTAAATGGATAAAATGGATAGATTTATTTTATTCAGATGTAGTATGGCTGATAAAAACAAAGATACAGCATCCCTTTTTTAAAGGAATTCCCCATCCTTGGCCTCACTGCTAGGTAATTTTATGCCATTTTGAAGATAAGTGGTTCTTATTTGCCAATAACCATTTTTACTGTATTCTATGTTTAAATACAATGGGTTGTATATTTGTATCTACCTTTCAATGCAGATAATTAACCAATTCCCAGTTTTCTTTCAGGTAAATGTTGGAGATATAGTTATAATAAAAGGCAAAGAGTATATCCCTGCTGACACTGTACTTCTCTCATCAAGGTAGAGATGCCTACTGATGCTCAAACAGTGTAGAGGATGGTTTCTCTGCCCTGCATTGACCCTGTGATTCCTCCAAGGAAATAAGGAATAAACGAAGAATTTTAAAACCTCTCGAATGATTTTGAATTAAGCATTAAAAAAATTGATTGGACTTAAAGGACTCTTTCATGTTTGCCATATAAAATAAATGATGGGCATTATACTTTATCATTCAAAACTTATAATTACAATTTAGAGTCTACCCTTCCTCTGGATATGTCCCGATCCTCTCATATGGACCACTCACTCGTGTGTGACTTCCTGTCATTTATTTTATATGATACATGAATTAGGTTCTACTGATTTCATCTTGCAGTCCTTGTCATGACGAATTTCTTTATGACGTATTTGTATCTCTCTCCAAAGTTTCTTCATCTTTACGGTGCATTGGTACAAGAAAATGGATGATTCCTTTTTTTTTTGTCATCATATCTTTTGAAATTCCATACTCTTCCAACAAAAAAAGTTTTTTGCTCTTTTTTTAAAAGTTCTTTCCATTACTGAATTTAGATAATTTTTGTTTCACTCATATTGAAGCTAGTCATGAATTAGTATTCAGAACCTACGGCACTATTACCCTTTAAAGAATGTGACTTTCAAATGGATTTAGGTTTAAAAACTATAAAACTAGTCCTAATATAAAGTAAGGAAAATGTTTTTAATATTTTAGAGGTTGTTTATCATCATTTCCTTGGACAGTTTTATTTGCAAAATCTACGTATAAATATGGACAGTGTCCTTTTTTCAAAATCTGTTTAATCAGGTCATTATTGAAAGTGATTGGAAATATGACCAATTAGTGAAATTTAAATAAGCAAGTAAAAGTTACCCAGATACTTATAGGAGTAAGTCTATAAGTAGTTGAAGTAACTATAGGTAGTTATATTTCCATATTTTTTTAGTTCCGAGCTCTTTGTACCTTTTCTTTATAGGTTTTGTTTTCAGAAAAATTGAAATTATGATGTTTTTGAATCAACCTTTCTGTCAATGGTTTCCTTTGCTTATAGTTTTATCAGGGTAGGTTTCTAAAACTGAAGTAAAGGAATTGTCCACACATGGCAGTGTGAACATGAGTTTAACAGGGAATCCATTGTCTGTCTCAGGTGCTCGTAGCATCAGGTGTTAGAGCTCTTCCTAGGAGGCAGGAGACCAGGTTTCTTATCTTGGCCTGGCGATTTTGAACAAAATAATCTCTCAGGCCTTGATTTCATATCTTTTAAAATGAGGAAGATGGATTACTTCAGCATGCTCTCATATTCCTTGAGTCTCCTTTTTGTTTGAATTGGTAGTATTTCATTAATTTTTCAGCATGCCTAACCAACAGTCCGATGGGCCAAGTAACACTTTGAGAAATGGAATGAATGAATGACCATCTGAATGTCGTCATGTATATATAATGAACATTTCAGCAATTTAAGAACCATATTGATGTTTTTCTGATTAAACTTATCATAGAGACATTACCATAGAGAGAATCATATATGCTGAACCAGTAATTACAATATTTAAATTTTGTATACTCAAAATATTAAGATAACTGACTCTACTACCCTGACTTTATACTTAGGTCTAAGTTAAAAGTTGTCAAAATATTTTTCATCTGCCTCTGTCCAATCCCAGAAACTCCCATAAAACTCTGCGCTGGTATTTCTTAAACTTTAGAGCATTTTTACAGGATTTATTTTCTAAACATTAAAAACATTCACTGGTGGCTATCAGTATTGGTAAATCAAGTAGTGTCTATATCTTAATATAGCATACACAGTAACGAACTTCCTCCAAAGATTATTACTTTTAAAAAGATTACCTGATATTTCTGTCCAAGTGGCAAAATACCACCTTTCAGTTGTTGTTTTCTCAAAAGGGTTTTTGCAGTACTTGGCTCTTTTGAACCTACGTTAGACTGAAGAAGTAGATGAAGTTTTGTCATTATTTAACAGAAAGAGGAATTTTGACCTTAAGTCTTATTTTTAGCCACTTAACTTTAGCTAATGACTAGGGTTGGAATACTTAATTCCTAGTCTAATATCTTCATTATATCATAGCCTCTGCGATCAAAACAAGTGCATGGTGATTTTCACCTGCAGGTGACCATCATTTAGCATAGCAACAAACCACAGCTTATAATATTTTAATCTCTAAATATTTTTAATTATTAATTAATAATAGTTTATCTTCGTTGAGGTAGTTTGAAATTAAAGCATGACCATGGTTGAAGGTTACTGTGTTTCAATGATTTTCATTTTGAAGTAAAGAAACTGACATTTTACCTTATAACAAACAGATACATGAGTTTAGAAAGTATAAAAGAGTAAAATAACTCAAACTCTTAATTCCAATCCAAACAGGTTCTTGGCATGTCTACTTCATACCTTTGAAAAATTTTTCCCAGATTCAAAGGATTACCCTCCCAAAATGCATTACCTAGACTTTATTATTAAATAACTCACAAGGCTGCAATTATGCCTTCTAACTTCCTAAAATCCATGTCTTTGCAGCTCTGCATTAAAGTTGATACAATATTTATGCAGTGAAGTTTGAAAATGTTTTGGAATCAAAAAATTTTAAATACAGTTATTTTTTAGTATATGTGTAATATACTTTGTTTTTCAGAAGTAGTTTCCTCAAAAGGAGTTTCCACAATTATTTTCTTTCTTTTAGGCTAGGAGTGGACATAGAGTAGATGGCATGAGAATGAGGAATTGGAGAAAGGGAATCTTTCAGATAAAGTAGCTCTATCTAAAAATATCTTTTTATATAGTGTAAGATGTGCTTGTGATTAAACTTTAAAAAATCAAAAATTTTCACATCGAAAATTGAACTTAAAAGCAAATAAGTAATCTAAATATTCCATGTTTTCTTGTACCTTTAGACCTGATCAAAATAAGTTTTGAAAAAATTGGCATTAGACATTTTCTATTAACATGTATTCTTTTCTGTAATAATTTCAAACTTTCTGTCTCCTTTGTCCATTTGTTTGTTTTGTCTGTTATTTATTTTTTTCCATTTTAATTACTTTAAACTGGGACCTGTAGGTGGCTGTGGGGGAAATAGTGAAAGTGACCAATGGGGAACACCTCCCAGCAGATCTCATCAGCCTGTCCTCAAGGTTAGAGCACCGAGCCGTGCAGGATGTGTGTATGTGGACCTCACCCTACACCAGAGAACACTTACACCAAGACATGGTTGAGTTCGAAGTCTCTTCCTGTAGGACACAGACTTTTTATACTTCTTGGTGATGGAGATGTTTTAAAGGCCTTTTATGAAGGCGATGTTGGATGATGTTCGTCCCTCAGCTGGGCAGATTCAGCTCCTCTTGTTATCAGTAGGAGCCCATGAGGCATGCCAATAAATATAGATTTTTAATTTCCTGTGCATCATTAATATGTATTCATTTTTAACAACCTGCCTAAAGACCCTGGCTTAATTAAATACCCCTCCAGGATATTATTTTAAACAATGTTAAGCTTTACATAAAACAAAGTTATTGAGAAATATTTAAGATTTTAAACATTTGTCTTATTCCTGTATCTGAAACTTTGTGAAGTTCTCAGGACTCCTTCAGCAATCATGACTGTGATTTGGGCTTGTGTAGGGTTGTGGAGGACCCCTGCACAAAGCTCGATGTGGCACATCCTGTACCGCATGCCTCGGGATCAGTTTTTATCTCCTCGTAACTAGTGACAGTGCATGTTACTGTGGTAAATGTCAGCTGTCTGCTAGTCTCTGGACCGTGAAGCGCATCTTGTTTCATTTTTCCACTTACTAATCAAAAAGCTCGCTTTGCTTCTCTGACTGTAGTTTGTGTTTTGGATGTCCTCATCCTCTGCAGAAATATTTATTCTCGGGCATGACTCCTCTCAGACATCTTGCTTCTCTCTTCATAGCGCTGTTAAGATCCGCTTCAGTCACAGCTGTCTTAAGGGATTATGTATGTTCTGAGTTTGGATGCATATTTTATTTGCCCCATTTCAAGTAGAAATCAGCCATTTAACTTCCTAATTTCCTAGCCATTAAAGTCTTAGAAAAGTTGCTTTTTGGAAAAAATAAATAAATAGAACTAGAATGTTATTCTCATTTTAATATGAGAATGGCCTTGGACACGTAAAGTAAAACTTGAATGCAGCTTACTGCCAAAATCTGGAGTCAGCATTGTTCATTTAGCGTGTTTGTCTTCATGCTGCTCTATTTTTCAGAAGATGTGCTTTATAAGTTCTTAAACCCTTTCTGTTTCAAATATATATATATAAGCACATCACAAGTTGAGAGCAATTGCCAGAGACACATTACTATTGCCACAGTAATAAAAAATAAAGCCTTGAATAATTGACAGAGTGAAAATATAAGTAATGAAAAACTTCTCCAGATGGGAAAAAAAGTATCAGCTTTTATGGGATTAAAAAAAAAAAAAAAAAAAGCCCATACAGTGCATTGAAGAACATGCAAAGTTACTTTAAAGTGAATCTGTAAAATATTTTATAACCATATGGCTTAGTAACTTTCATAAATCTTCAGGGCACAAAACTAAGCTACATGCCCATTTCTGAAACTGAGAATAGTCTGTTTTGCACATATACAAATTGGAAGTTCTTTAGAAAATTCCAGGTATTTGTAACTTACAAATATTTTTATTTCCAACTTTGAATGCACATGCTTGTCAGAGATTATTTTCATAGTTACCTATACGATGTTAGCTAAGTAGGCTTATATAACCGAGTGCTAACAAGGCTGATTAACTTCAGAATGCTTTTCCTTATATTTAAGGATCAGCTTGTACAGTGGGACTACAAACTCACCTGTCAATAATTGTTGCACAAGTAAAGTTAGCATATGAAGGGGCAGGATATAGATGGTCCAGGCCATGGTGCCTGTGGAAGAAGCTGAAAAACGCTCCCTTCTACCAGCCACCGCACACCAAACTTTACTAAAACACCCATAAAGTGGGTCTTTTAGGTTCACATCAAAAAGCAATATGGCCAAGTTGGCTGGTTTTAGTTTTATTTAGCTTTTGCTGTCACAAAAATCTATAAAACAATCCTAAGAAATAGAATAGGAGCAGAAAAGCCAGGGGGAGAAAGTGTATATCTACTTTCACTGCAAAACCTGTTCATAAGATTTTTAAAAGTAGCCCTAAATTTTAAATATTTGAATATGGTTCCTGGGATCCTATTCATCTTTTCTAAACGGGTAGTAAGTGCAAGTTTTTAGAAGCAGCAATCTGGAATTTTCTAATCAGCCACTTTCCTTAATCAGTTTACATGTGACTCTGAGCATGAATCTCACTTGATATTTTTGAGCTAAAGATAAATCTGGACACAAACGACTTCACATTTCAGTTACAGTCTGTGTTGTGTCTATATGGATAAACAAAGTATAATGTGACAAATTAAATTATTTACTTTATCTTGAAGATCTATACTGATTGTTGCCAGGAAATTGCTTTGGGGTCCTTCTGGCTGAACAGCTGATCCATGAGTTGTCATGCATGGGCTCTGCCTCACAGCATTTTGCACTTAGAATGAAAACCAGCAAGAAAGTAGGCACCTAAAGCTTTGTTTAGAAGGAAAGGCTTCAGCGAGTCTGAGCATTAGATAAGTTATTGTTATGCTTTCCTTCCCTCATTAAATCTTTTTGCTTTTCAATTTTAAACAACAGCGAGCCCCAGGCCATGTGCTACATTGAAACTTCCAACTTAGATGGTGAAACAAACCTGAAAATTAGACAGGTAAGATCTGATACAGGTTTATATAATTGTTGCTGTTTTATTACATGCAGTCAGTAGCTTTATTTCTTACTGTCTTGAGTTGAAGTAATTCTGTCCAACTGCAGATGTTTTCTCGTTGAGCCCCCATGAAAAGAATTTATAAGTTGGTGGCATCATGTATTTTAGAACACTCAGATTTACTTGCCTGATTGTGTGGTCCTATTTGTATTGATACTATTTGTAATATTTTATATAATGGCCAACACTGATGATGATAACGATAGTAGTAATTCTGAGTGCTTTGATGTGCGTTAGCTTACTCATTTTTCCTATTCACCTGGCCCAAATTATTTGGCTTTGCCGTGTTGAAAGACATAGTTTCCGTTGCTGTTCTAAATGTCTCACTAATCTCGGGGAATAGTTTAGATTTCTAATTTCTCATATCATCCCTAATAGAAGGCAGCTGTAAGGTTTTTATTTTTAAAGTAAAAGGGACTTTTTAAAATGTACAGCCATGCACTGCTTGAAAACGGGTGGTTCTGAGAAGAGCACCCTCAGGCGAGTCGGTCGTGCGAACGTCACGGAGGGCCCTACCCAAACCCAGGTGGCTCAGCCTGCCACGCATCTGGGCTGCCCGGCAGAGCCTCTTGCTCCGAGGCCACAAACCCGGACAGCGTGTTCCTGTGCAGAGCAACACAAGGTTAAACCAAGCACAGAGAAATGACACAATCAAGAGCGGTGAGCACTGAGCGTAGGCGGCTGCTGCCAGCGTAACACGGCATACAGGTTTACAGCGAACGTTTTTTTTGTAAATAGAGTACACTCTAAATAATGAGAAAAAGTGTACTCTAGTATAGTAAATATATAAACCAGTAACATAATCATTACCAAGTATTGGTACTGCACATATTTGTTTCCGCCGGCATCACCTCAAACGTGAGCAATGCATTGCACGGTGACATTAAGACAGCGATGGTGTCAGTAGGTGATAGGAACGTTTCAGCTCCATGATAATCTCACGGGACCATTGTCACATATGCCGTCTGTCGTTGATCAAAACATTAGGAGGCACATGACTGTACTCCCTAGGGTTCTAGGTGAATGGTGAGAATGGCGTGTGGGAGGTTGGGGTGTAGCGGAAGGGAAATGGGTCATCACAGAGCATCCGAACTCAGAGTGTCCCAGGGAGCTGGGCCTGTTCCCTTCCAGACAGTTCTAGTTGGCCAGGGGGAGGAACTGTTCTGGAGTGTTCCTTCTCAATGAACTAAAAGAACAAACTATTCCCTTTGGACATAGATTTTATTTGGTTTTTTAGCCACTTTCTGAGGTTCAGCAGACAGATTCACACTGTATTTATTTTTGGAAGCAGACAGATTTTTAAGAACTTATTTAAAAATATCTTTTCAGACTGGTTTATAGTCCCTCGAATATATTTTAGAACTTACCAGCAGCTGCCCTATTCTTGTGCCGAAAACCTGTGTTCAGATGGAGAGGAAGGTATCTCTTGATGATGATTGACAAAAAGTATATGTTGTATAAGGAAGAGAATTGCTTATAAAATAGTGGCATCTCTTAGCTCATAGGCCTGGTTGGATTCAGAATTACCCCTTCCTCCCACATACAAAGTATTTTATATACTCTTATTTAAAACTTTCTAAACAGGGCTTACCAGTAACATCAGATATAAGAGACATTGACAGTTTGATGAGAATTTCTGGCAGAGTCGAGTGTGAAAGTCCAAACAGACATCTCTACGATTTTGTTGGAAACATAAGGCTTGACGGACACGGGTATGTAAAACCGGTCTTCACAGAAACACAGAATTCACTGGGTCTCGGTGTCTCGCTAACCTGAGTGTGTGTTTTCTTGTGCTCTAAGTCTGAGCACTCAAAACCCTTTCCTTGAGCACTTCCATATTACTTGAACCCAGGGGCCTTTTGTGAAAAAGATGAGATTGTGTGTTTATCTTACCTAGTGTGTTTTTTAAACCTTCATTACGCACACAGCTATTTTTAATTTAAAAGAAGGTGGGGGAGGGGGAACGGATCTCCTTACCTAAACACTTCCAAACATCTCGGAATCCTAAATGGACTTAACTAAGTCAGGAAGAGTCTTAAATAGGTTTGAAAATTAGCCTCTGAATTCCGAAACATTGCCTACTATTTTGGATTGTGAAATTGTAGGAAATGGCTGGATTGATGTTTAAGGAGAAGCCAGCGAAATGCTTCTCTCCAGCTGTTCTTGTGTAAGAAAATTGTTCTTATTGGTAGAAAAATGACTTCTTTTCTAAAAATACAGTAAATATGAGAAGGGTTGTTTAAATAATGGAGCCTTTTTGGGAACTATAGTGGCTGTAGAATTCTTAAGCATTTTAGAAAATGTCATTTCTAATGCCAGTGTAATCTGTCACAGCACCGTGCCCCTGGGAGCAGATCAGATTCTTCTTCGAGGTGCCCAGTTGAGAAACACACAGTGGGTTCACGGAATCGTCGTCTACACTGGACATGACACCAAGCTGATGCAGGTGGGATTTTTATCTGTGCAAACCTCTTGGACCTAAATCTTTTGAAAATGTGCTATTTGTAGCTTTTGGTGCAGTAGTCCCACACACAGCAGACCATCTGTCACAGATGCCTGAGCCCCACTCTCTACATCCACAATCTCTTTCTTTGGTGAGTGGGCTGTGCAGTGGTTCATGGCACAGAGAACCCTGGAGAGTTTCCCCAGAGACCACGCAATGCACAGACTCTCAGTGATCTTGTGTATTGGCCCACTGGCAGCATTTACTATTACAGCGATACATATAAGTTGTCTGCGTAACGATGAGTGCTCTGCATTAAAGTATTTGTCTTATAATTTTATTTGAATACAGTGATCAAATTTTAGAACTTATTTTCTTTTTAAAAAAAAAATATGACTTTATTGATTTCAGAGAGAGGAAGGGAGGGGAGAGAGAGAGATGGAAACATCCATGAAGAGAGAGTCATTGATCGGCTGCCTCCTGCACGCCCGCTACTAGGGGTCAAGACCACAACCCGGGCATGTGCCCTGACCAGGAATTGAACTGTGATCTCCTGGATCATAGGTCGATGCTCAACCACTGAGCCACACAGGCTGGGCTATTTTCATTTTTTTATAAAAACTTGCAAATCAAATGTCGACCATTGTTTCATAGAATTTTTATGTTAGGCCATTTTTAATCAACCTTAATCCCAGCAACTTCTAATGTTTACGTATGCCTGTGGATGCTCCTTCCCTGCATTATAATATCATCAGTGTTCAGTGGTTAGATGGGTATGAGAAACTCAGTTTTAAGACACTGCGTGAAAATCTTCTCTAAGAGCTGATTGATAACTTTGTACATTGTGAAGGCATGAAGACCTAACAACCAGGCAAGCAGGACTGCTATTAATGATTCCACCCCTAATCATTCTATAAATTCTGTAAGCCATTTTATATTGATTATGACAAATTTAATTTTCTGTCCTGTGGATTCCTTCGTTAGCTCAAATCTGGCATAATCATTTTTTATCATTAACTATATCGGAAGAAACCTGTCTCTGTTTATACCTAGGTATATTCTTTATACCTAGGACTGTTTAGATAGCTGCTGTGCTCAGTAAAAACAATCACTCAGTGCCACCAAAAATCTGGAAAACAGTGGTCCTTTAAACGTTGCCTTTCGTACTTTGAAATTTCCAGGTCTCTGGCTGTGGGGTCATAGGCCCCCTTCTCTGCCTCTCTTCCTAAGCAGAGAGGATGCTAAACTAGATGCTTCTAGTCCACTCTTTTTGCTTCAGTAATCAGGTAATACATTGTTCATCTTACCTGCCACAGTGCTAAAGCTGCGTTCACAAAAGGAATGCCATTTTTTTCTCTTAATATTGTTTTCCATCTTAGAAAAGGGCTTGGGTAACATAGCGGCCCTTAGAAAAAGAGGCAATTAACCTTTGCAGCTTATTACCTCTGTGATTGTTATCTGTGCAGCTTTCAGGTGTCTGCTCATGTCTGCATTTTCAGTTTGCTGAGGACTCTGTCATCCTGATCAAAATACCAAGTACCTGTTACTAAATCACTGTGCACATTTCTTATTTCCCGTCTCGTTTCTTTTTACAGAATTCAACAAGTCCACCGCTTAAACTCTCAAATGTGGAACGAATTACAAATGTACAAATTTTGATTTTATTTTGTATCTTAATCGCCATGTCCCTTATCTGCTCTGTGGGCTCAGCCATTTGGAATCGAAGGCACTCTGGGAAGGACTGGTACCTCAACCTAAATTGTAAGCATTAAAGTGCCTATCGACACTTTTTCTTTCATTAAAACATGTACTTGTTTCACAGGTGCTCTTGGAATTTCCTGTTATTTCTGAAAGGAAAACATTGTTGCCAAGATAACTGGGCATTTAGCCTTTATTTTTCAATGCAATTTTCAGTAAAAGTAAAATGTTAGAATCTCTAAAATTTCAGAATCCTTAAAAATATAACAAGCACTTTTTAGTAATATAAAAATGTTATTTTATTAATGTTATTAATTTGTTTCAATATATTTTAGTACAGGTAGTTAGCTGTCTGGTAAAGAAAGCAGACTAAGTATATTTAAAGCATCAAAAGTAGTTTACGTGTTTTTAAAATGTTTAAATTGAATGTACTTTCATTTGAACTCATGAATGCAGTGAATTCTGTGTTAGTGGTCTCCTTATCTTAGGGCAGGTGCTATTAAATAGTTTCCTTTTGTAGCACTTATCCTCTTACTATTGTGAGATTAATGCATCACCCCTAAAGATTTCTGAGAAATAAGTTTGCATTGCCTTTTGATTAGTCAATTAAATATTTAATTTTCAAAAGTGGGAAGACAAAGTCTAGTAAAATTTTATGGCAAAATTGATTTATGTTCAGTTGTGTGTATTTTTACTATATTGATTTAGCCTTGCAGCTATCCCCAAAGTTTTTTTTACCGTCATTAATTTATAATGTCAACTTTAGAGCTGTCACAACTGCCATCAGTTTGTTTCTTCGTATACTTTACAGTGTATGTGGGATAGCTGTTTTATTTTCATTATTGAAGGGGGATAATTTAATTTACCTAGAGCTGAATTCACCTACAGTCCAGCCCTACACTGTTTTTGTTGTTTGGGTCAGTTTTGCTGGTGCTGTTTTGTTTGTTTGCTTTTAAGGCTTGTTTTAAATTGTAAGTGCTTTTCAAGGATTTATATAAAAGTGGTTCTACCCAGTCAAGATTTTTCATTTATAAACACTTAGTCCTGTCCCTAATCTCTCTAAACTTTGTGTTTGGAACAGAATTTGAAATACTTAACAGTGCTTTCACCTTTTGGTACCACCATACAGATCTTAATAGGATTAAAAACATATTGGACACAAATACTGCTATTCCATCTTGAAGAATGTGTTTGAGCAAGAGGATGTGTTTTTGTTACCAACACAGTATTCCTCCCCAATCTAGATATGATATAGAAAATGAAATTTTTTTATTATGCATGAAGTGCTGGTCAGTGGAAAATAAAATATATAAAACTATCAATGTTTTTCCTCCCGCCTCCCCCAACAGATGGTGGCGCTAATAATTTCGGGCTGAATTTCTTGACCTTCATCATCCTTTTCAACAATCTCATTCCTATCAGCTTGTTGGTTACATTAGAAGTGGTGAAATTTACCCAGGCCTACTTCATAAATTGGGTAAGTATGAATTAATCGTGTTTTTTAATCACTCTAAACATATTTTTTCTTTTTTTGTCCAGATAGGGTCTTTGGATCTCCTCGAAGAAGAAAAAAAATTAATTATACCTTACCTTTTATTGACTACAAGATAATATTTCAAAGTATTTTTGAGCCTAATATAATTGTAATAAATTCCGTGGACGTGTGAAAATCGGTAGCAAAGTCTCTCATCACAACCTCACCCAAGTTTATAGACTAGACATCTGGAGAGAAGAGGTCTCTAGTTCAGGAAGCTATTTTGTATTACACAGTGGTCTTGGGGAAAAGGAGGACCATGGGGTTTGGAGTGAAAATACCTGGACTATAGTTCTAGTTCTGTAACTTACTAGCTTTGTGAACTTTGGCAGGCCGCTTGACTTCTTTGAGACATATTTTCTTGGGCACTCACATGGGAATGATAAACACGGTTTACCTGCATCTCCCAGTGGTTCTGTAGATCAGAGGAATTTCAGAGCGTAGCAGACAGCTTCGTAAACAAGGGAACACTATAAAATAGTACTGTGTTCACTACTTGTAGCAGCCAGGGTGTCCGTCATGTTTTATACATCTGTGGAGTTTATTTTACCACCCTATAAACAATTTCAGCTGTACTTGAATTTTTCTTTTTTTTTCTTTCTTAAATATTTTTTAAATCTTGGGAAACTGTACTAGATATCTGTTTCCTAAGTGTTTTGTTTATAAAATATGTTGTTCTTCCTCAGTTTTATTAGTACCAAAGTTACAATTAATGAATTTATGTAAATTAATCTCTAGGCCTGGTCCGCCTAAAAGTTTAATTTTTATTTTTTTGAGAAATTTTAGTATTATCTTTTAATGTCTCCTTTTAAATCACTTAAAAGTTTTTTCATCTGAACAATATTAGGATTTTTAATAATATAACTGCAGCTACTTTTGTAACTGCTCATTATGTTCCCATGGTAAATGATCTGCCTCAGCTGTCAGTCTCTCTTAATTCATTGGTAAAGATCAGTATAACTTAGAAATCTAAATTGAGCTGCAAGCGTAGCTCATTTCATGCAGGAGATACTTAACTGAAAAATTGTGTAATAAAATTTGTATAAATATATTTAAAACTTATTGAAGGTTTCCCACTTATAATAAGAAATAATAAAGTGACTCATTGTGAAAATCAAATAACCAGTCAATCCCTTTATTATTGTATTTGGATTTTCAAAAATAATATTTGCTTGAAGTAATTACGTAATTTTAGTGGTGGGTGAGCCCAGCAGGCCTTTCAACCACCTTTCTAATACAGAGATTTTTTAACATTCCTGACTGAAGAGATCTCCCCTTACCAAGTAGCTTATTCATTGTGAGGAAATAAGATTAGTAACTGCCTCCTTTTGATTCGTGTTCTGCCTAGTAGATCTTGTATGGAAATTGTCTAGTCTTGTTTCTGAGTACTAGCCGTCTAAACATTTGAACTTGACTGTCATGCCGATTCTGCTGTCATATGCCCCTCCCAGCGACCTACCCTCCGTCTCCTTCGGTTCTTCACTTCACATGATTTCCAACCTAATCCCCATTCCAGACACTCCTCTCTGAACGTTGCCCAGTTGTTTAATTTCCCTCTTAAAACATGGCACCTATAACTCAACAGCCTATTCCAGAAAAGATATTGAGCAGTCTGAAATACAGACATGGAAGAGGTCAGATTTAGCCTTTTCATTTGACATGTGAAAATCTGTCAACTCTTGACTGGTCAATATAGTGTTCTACTATAGAAAATATTAATTTTTATAGGATTAAGAGTCAAACCTCATAACTCTGCGTGCAAAGCAAGTACAAATAGGTACAAAAACTATACATTTTTCTTTGGGTTTTGAGAATGCACTCATTTTGCTTTCAAGTGTATACAGTGTAAGACACTTCGCTGAGAAAATACAACCAGATAGAATCCATTAGGTAATTTCCCCAGGGGTGTAAAGTTGTAATTATTTTATCAATATTTAGTTGCTATTATTTTAGCTCACATTTAAGCACTTACATTGTGTCAGACGCCATAGGAAGCACTTTACATGCATTATCTTATTTAATCTTTACAATTGGTCTGATATCCAGAGACATACTCTACCTACCACACTATTCTGCCTTTACTGTGGAATGTAATATTCTATATTGAGTACTGTTTAGGGAAATCAACTGAAATGATATAGAGAAGACGAAAGTTGAGAGTGATTATGTACATAGCTTACCAGTTAAAATAAAATTTCACTCAAATCCTTATTACCAGTTGTAGTCAATGATTTATTTTTATTTTTAAAAAGGATCTCGACATGCACTATGAACCCACAGACACTGCTGCTATGGCTCGAACGTCTAATCTGAATGAGGAACTTGGCCAGGTAAATGACATTTCTTGTTGAGGTGTTGACACGGAAGTCAGATTCGTTGTAATTTCTGCTGTAGGTGGTAACTTCATAGGGATTGACAGCTCCTAATTTTCCATTACTTGAAAACTATTAATTTTCATTTTTAGTAAATGAAGTTGTAAAAACACATATAGCATATTTTGCTCTCAAATAAGGTATTGCACTGAGAGATGTCCTTTATTATATAATCTGACTAGTAGCAAAGTATTGGTGGTTTTTGAGTTATAAACTCTGTTTAAAAATTATTCATAGCTTTTGACTAGAAAGGAACAAAAAGTTAAATTGATCAGTGAAGTTATGTAAGTTGAAGTAATAGTAATCACACAGGAATTTTAGATTTGTAATTCATACATATGTGTATATTTGTAATCCATTTATACATACAGGATGGGACAAAAGTAAGTTTATAGTCGTGAGTACGTGAAACAGTTTATTCTTATATTATCTATTAATGTATTATTTTCAATACCAACAACTGTAAACCTACTTTTGCCCCACCCTGTACTAGCTAAGAAAACATTCTTCTCTTTTTGTATCATTGCCATATGCTAACTCTTATTTTTCAGATAGCATTTAGACCAGAATTAATCTTTTTCTTACCAGTACAGATGTTGTATAACGTTCATTGCAGAAGCTATTTCCAGTTCTACAGTTGTTATGAGGAGAGATGCTGGTAGATGTTTTAGTGCTTCACAAATGTTGAGTAGCAGTAAAGGCACTTTCTGGTGGAAGTTGATACTATATTGAGGCAGATTTCTAAATGACTATAGTTTTTCTAATATCTTGATAGTCCTCAGTGTTCATACATGAAATGATTCACTGCCAAAATACTAAAAATATATAGTTGAACATATTCTTTTATATGCAGAAAGAAGTCAGTTAATAGCATTCCATTGTGCCACAACAATGTAACAACACTGATAAAAAGAATAACTTAAGGCTTCTTCCCCTCTGAAAGAGACTGACATAAAAGACCCCTGAGATTTTAGTGAGACATTTTGAACTGTTTTTTTAGGTAAAATACATATTTTCGGATAAAACTGGAACTCTGACATGCAATGTGATGCAGTTCAAGAAGTGCAGCATAGCTGGAGTCGCTTATGGGTAAGTTTTTCTCTTGAAAAAGAATATGAAATACAAATTTACTTAGTGCTAACAATGTGGTACGTTTTGAGAGTTCTTTTAGTGGAGTTTCTTTTTTTAATCTGGAAAGCAGCTGTTTTCATTTCACCATCCTTGTATGTGTTGTGTTTTACATGTAGGCATTGTTTTTCCCTTGGAACTACCTAGGACGGGGCTGCTCAATAATATTTCAGTGTTAGGAACTGCCGAGGGCCTCTACCTGGTCCAAATACCCCTCCCTCTGCATTGCCATTAAGTTGGAATACAGCTGGCGTGTGGCTGTGTATGCGTGTATGCGTGTGCTCGCGTACACGCGGTAGGAACAGCAGTCTGTCCTTGGGCACTTTTCAGGTTAAAGCATTGTTGCTGTTTCTCTGATACTTATCCCTTTGATTTGTTTTTTCTTTCATTGTCTCTCCTCTTTGCAGTCACAGAACAATTTAAATTTCTGGTGACCGGAGGGAATTAGGGACATGAAACTCTTAAATCCAGGGAATAATGAGTGTCATCAGAAACTTGTATCAGGCGATTAATGCCCTTAGGACGTGCTGTTGAGCACTCATTTATTGCTCATACCCAGGCATGCCTACCTGAACCGTTCAAAGCCTTCTTTTGAAAATACTTTATAGGGTAAAGTGAGAAAATCAGTTTCTACATTTCCTAAAAAGACATGATCAAAAAGTGAAACACCCTCCTGGTTGATTGAATTGGCCTATTACCAAATTTCCCAGCCCTCTTTATCCGCGCAAGTAAGACTGGTAAATACCAACCCCTCACCCACACAAGCGAGGGCGCTTGCTCTGGGCTTGTCTGGCATGTGCCCACCCTTCCCCATTCACACTCTCTCCAGGCACTAAGCTACTATAAAAATAGTGTATTGAATTTTGAAAATGCCTTCGTTAAAATTATAAGTAAATAACCATTTGGTAAAAATTCCAAAGGCATATGGTTACTCCCATACACGGGGTCCAAAAAGAGAGCTCGATGGGGGCATGTGTCCTTGTTGTTTCGGTCAGCAGGACATGTGACTGAAAATGCCTTCAAACTGTTAAGCAGAAAAGACATTTGATTGAATGGCTTTTCCACATCGTAAAGACAGGCTGTTAATTTGAGAAGCATGCTTACTGTTCACAGGGTTGAGTGCCATTGGGCATCTTTCCTCTTTCTCTGAAGATCTGCCCATTCTCTTAGACAAAAGAGCCTCTCCTGCCACCACCCTGAACGTGCCCCCAGCCTCGCCGTTGGGTCAGCCGCTGGAGCAGGAGAGGGGCAGCCACCCTTTTGACATTGTGTACGGGAGACCACAGTAATCCCAGACAAGAGAAGAAAAACCTGTTGAGATTCTGGAGTTTGTTGTAGGATACTTGCTGGTAAATTTAGGGTGATGTTTATTTTTACACAAAGTCTGCAGTCGTTCATAAATGTGACTCTTAGACTTGATCTGTCTGATAATTGGCATCCCGTTTTACTTTGTCCAATTCCCAGTTGAAGAAGCATGTTTTTCAAATTAGGAATTATTGATGGTGAACTTCTTAGAACAGAAAGCTAGAATGGCATCTAGGTGCTCTTTTCTTCTGCATTTTATCAGGTTTGTTTCATTGTTGTTGTTTTGTTTCGTTTTTAATTCCTGGAACAAGTCCTTCAACACTTACAGGCGGTAGTTCTAAAGAGCAGTGTTCTTATCTATTGGCAGTATTGTCATTAACTATTACAGCAGAGAGCGTTTGAGACTGGCAGAATTAAAGTAGTATTAGAGTTCAGAATTGTCCTCATTTAGCTTAAGTTTTCAGTGAAACAAACTTCCTCTCGGGAAAATAACCCCTCTTAGTATTGAATTGTGGTCATAAACTTGAGTTCCGGTTGCAGCTTCGTCACTAATTCACTGTGACCCTGGACAATTCCTTTCAAATATTCCAAATCCTTTAAAATGAGAATGGTGAAAGGAGGTGATTTTTTTTTTTCAGAGTTGGGAGCAAGGAAAAGGTTATTGATCGAGAAGGCCTACCTAGAGAAGATGAAAGAACTAATTCTCAAATCCAGCCTAAGAGAGCTCAAAATTCAGGTGTTTTATATATCAAGGGAAAGGAAATGGGTGAGGTAAAGAGGTGGGTGGGGACTGTAGACAGCCGAGGGTCCCAGGGAAAGTGCAAAATTTCTAAATCTCTCTCTTCCTGGTTGACCCCCACTGATCTGGGCTTGGTTCTGGAGTTATTACGAAAGTAGATGATCTTTAAGGTTTTTTCCCCCCAGATATAAAATTCTAACATGTTTAGAAATTTAAAAAACAAACAGGTGTTCCTTTGTTTGCAAATTTTAACTATATGTTAAATATGTTTCTTCTTTGGGTGTTGTGTCATTCCTTCAAGAATACCAGAAGCCTTGTTGAGTGAGGCCAGTTGTTAAACTGCTTCCAAAACTGCTTTCACATATTGGTTGTGTGTGCGCTTTGAGAATCCTTAACCCTGAGTTTATATTAACATGCTCTCCAAACATCCTAATGGACAATAGGAATGTCAAGATTGTAGAGCTGCTAATACATGAAGACTTTGGAGAAACCGTTACTTAAGTCCACCCATCTCCACAGGAAAAAGTAATTACTGTCAACCACCTCTCTGTGGGAATGTCGTCGGGGCACCCTTGGGTTATAGGAGTCCAGACAGGGACATAACATGCTTTTACTCCCCCGTTTGCCCCGCAGCAGTTTTAACACTTGCTGCTTGTGGGGAGCTATTAGCTCGGTGCACTTGCAGCTCCAGCAGAAGGAAGCAGTGGTGTTGATCCCCCAGGATGTGGCCAAAGGAGAATAGCAAGCTTGCACATACTAACAACTGCCTTTGGGGCCATAGTTTCAGAGCTGGTGCTTTGTGGAAATTTTTAAGAAGTGAGATGAAGCCTCAGTTTACCCCGGGTAGAATCAAAGGTCAGTTCTCTCCCTTTTATCAGTTTGAAGGACAAGATGAGGTCTCTTGATAGTATTTAATCTTTGCCTAGTCTGTGTATTCCATAGGTTTGTTAGAAGATAATATTTAACACAAAACAATGCTTCGAAATTTACTCTTAATGAATTTTGTTCTCATTTTATGTAAACTTTGCCCCCAATAAAATAAAAAGATTTGTACACACTTATGATAATGATTTTCTAGAGATCAAGTTTGTATCAGAGACACCAATATGCTTAAATCAGTTAGGACTTTTTAGTTAAATATAAATGAATTATGTCATTTGTAAATTTAACCCTTTACAAACTAGATATGCTACTGTTAATCTATTAAAGTATCATTGTATCATTTTAGCAAATTGCTTCCTGTAGAGAATAAGTGAGTTTTATCACAGTTACTTGAATTCCAGGAATAGTAAGAGGTATTTGTATTCAAGGCTAGGATTCTCAATATAGTGAATGTTCTAGGCTACAGTCCTTAGCACCATCTTTGTTGATAATTTAGACCTTACTGTTCTGATGAGCTAGACTAGGCTTAACAAGGAATAATCTCTAAAGTTAAAAAAAAATTCTATTAAGCGAACTTAAACAGGGATTTTTGTGCCAGCAAGCCATTTAATCAGCACTAAAACTATGCCATGGGCATTTTCTCTTTAAGTGAAAATGAATGTTCTTAAGAGCAATCTTTATATATGAATACAGTATGTGACTAGATTTATTTGACAATATTTTATTTAGTCATATGTTTGCTGAAAGGATCAACAACTTCTTTAACACCAAGAAAAGATTCATTGTGAGAAATCTCACAATTACCATAATACTTACCCCCCAATCTAGATTAAAACCAACACACGTATCTTCCTGCTTACTGTGACTGGGGTGAAAGCTGGGTAAACACCACGAATTTCTTTATTCACATACCTCAACAATGAATGTTATTTCCTGCTATGTATTTGTCACTTGGTTAGATGATGGGGCTGTCAGGATCAGCAGAAGTTCACAGGACTCCCGCCCCTAGAGTTCATAGTCTAATTGGGAGTTAATGCATGTTAACTAAGTAATCACACAGGCCAATATAAAATCCTAACACAGTACAGAGGTCTGTGTGAGTCTGTGATTGGGGGTTCATCCAACCAGGAGGTCAGGGACTGCTCCCTGAGAAAGTGATACTTAGCGGAGATCTAAGACTGAGTCTGATTCAGTGAAGAACTTACCTGGCAGATATCGCAGCCCTGACATGCAAACAAAGGCAAATAATCACAGCACAGACACGCCAGCACTGCTGGAGCAGTGGCCCCTGGGAATCTCATGCAGGCAGGCTCAGTAGCGGGTGTGTGGGTGGCACAGCGCTCAGCATCTGCCAGGGCTGGACCAGACGGGTGGGGGGGCCCCTGAGTCTTGAGTGCCGCCGCTTTTAAGCTGCCCGGCTTGAGAAGCAAGCCAGGCGTGTGAGATCAGGGGCTGCTGTGCAGCACCGGTGCGACTCGGCGGAACCTTGGCACTGTGCTTTTGCTTGGGTGGCAGCACACGGCCTGCCCCTGCCTCTGCCTGGTCCAGTCTGGACCCCAAGCCTTGAGGTTGGTCCGAATTGCTTGCCTTGAGCCCTGCGGGAGGCCGTTGCCTTTTCTGGGCGTCCGGCCACAAGGCGCTTGGTTAGCCCTTCCTCTCAAGCATCTGCGAAAGTCCTTTGGTAGGAGAGAGAATAGTGAGCGTAGAAGGGGCCGCCTCCGTGTGGTTGGAGTGGACCCGGGGCACTGCCCTGGAGCCCGTCAGTGCTTCGGAGGCAGAAGAGGTACCCTGGATTAACGAGGCCACGCCATGGCCAGTTTGGTGGAAGGGGAAAGAGAATGGAGTGGTCACTCAGGGAGAGAGGATCCCAGTGAAGTTAATTGTGTATTTGTCAAAAGTAACAATGATTTTACGTTTGTACAGAACTCTGCATTTTCAAAAATCTATCTGTATCTAATATATTTAATTTAAAGGGAAAATATTGAATGGACATATATAACAAAAGAAATGGGAGATAAGAAAATCTGCTTTAATT